TCCAGGTTCAGTGAGAGGTCCTGTCTCAACAAATAAGTGATTGAGGAAGACACCCAATGTCAACCGCTGGTCCCCTTGTACACACATGCACATGTGTCTGCACACACATGAACCGATCCTCATGCATGGGTGTGTTCACGCACATGAACACAAGAAATCTGTATCCTCTCTGTGTAACATTTCTTGGGTCAGAACAGTGTGTTAATCCAGGGATACAAGGGGAAGGAGGAGGAGACACTGGGCATTAATGAACAAGCCCTTCTGTTCACCTGTGGCCCATCCATGTGTTTTATGTGTCTGTTGGGATAGAAGTGTCCTTACATTTATTTTTGTCCTCTTCTCACTCTTTTGTTTGCTTTACTTGCTTGGGTCTGGGTTTCCCACTACTGCTGAGTAGGGAAGCCCAAGGGAAGAACAGATGCAATGCCTTGACAGTAGCCCTGGTGTGAACATATACTAGAAGACACCTGCGTATTTCAGTTGTGTCCCCAAGAAGTTTCAGACAGAAGCACTTGGGTACTGAGTGAGGAAAATGTAATCTGAAGTTTTTATAGATACAGATATTAATGATTAAGTAGTAAAATAGGGAGGGAATGGGAAAAGGGAGGAAAAGAGAGTAAAGTATGAATGTTAAGGAAATAGAAGGTACATGGCCGCCGGGCGGTGGTGGTGCACGCCTTTAATCCCAGCACTCAGGAGGCAGAGGCAGGCGGATCTCTGAGTTCGAGACCAGCCTGGTCTACAAGAGCTAGTTCCAGAACCTCCTCCAAAGACACAGGGAAACTCTGTCTCGAAAAACAAAAACAAACAAACAAAAAAAAAAAGGAGAAGGTACATGGCCTATTGGTATGAGGGGTAAGAGAAAAAATAGAGTAGGAGTGGGAAGAAGACAGTCATAAAAATATACATTCTGGAAAAACACAAGCTCACACGAAACAAGCAATTGGAATATAGGTGCACTGATAAAAAAATACAAAAATAAATGTAAAAATGAAAATAAGAAATAGAAAGAAATGGAAGAAATTTCTAGCCTCAGTCAGTGCCTCTTCCCTGTTGGATATATTGCCTTCTCAAACACTGTGTTGATCCCACACTGTTCGAGAAGCCCAGCTTCAGTCACTCTTCATCTTGCTGCTTCTAAGGAACCCCATCTAAGAGGGGAGAGCATTTCAAAAGCCAGGCTGACCCTATGTTGGGTGTGACATGCCAGTCCAGTTGGTCTATCTCCAGCTCACCACTCCCATGGTGGCTGAGCTCAGCTCAAGGTGAGCAGTGAAATGAGGCTTGAGGTTGGTTGGTCTTTGTCCCTTTCCTGTGGCTTCAAAATGAGCCCCCCCCCCACTCCCCAATCAATCACCCAATGAAGGGATCACTGCCATTGTCAAATCTGCAGCTGGATTGAGGCTTATGGGAACTGTGAGCTTGCCATGAGGGTATGGCTGCTGTCTCCTTGCTGGGGCTGCCTGTGGATGTGTTTTTGGCTTTCCTATGCACCACTCATTTTCTCTTTCACAAGATTTGAGTGTCCTATCACGACTTTTGTTTTGTGTATTTCTAAGGATATTACTCGATTACTTTTTATTTTTTGCATAGTCCAACTTGTCTCCCTCCCCCATCCTAACTCTTTCCTTAGTTTTCTCTATCATTGAGGCATAAAATTGATGGTTCCTAGCCCACCATCTTGCCTGGAAACTCCTTTCTCCATTTTAAAAGACATTTTGTTGGTTCTGTTTTTGGATGATTGTTACACGGTTATTTATTTTGTGTGTTTGTACACACGAGGGGGGTGCATGTACACAGGATGGTGTACTGTGTGGTGGCCAGAGAACAACTTCAGGACTATTTTCTCCTCCCATCGTATAGACTCCAGGGACAGAACTCAAGTTGTCAGGCCTGGTGACAGCCTTACTGCGGAGCCATCTTGCTGAGCCAGTTCTTGTTTTTTATTACATTTTGATCACATTATTCTCTTTTTTGAAGTCCTTCCAGATCTTCTCCCCTTCTCTACTTTCTCCCCATCCAACTTTAAGATTTTTTTCAAAAACAAATAAAAACCTGACGTAACAAAATACCCCAAAACAAAGAAAACAAAATAAAACCACTCCCAAAAAAGAAAAAGAAAACACAACACCAGCTATAACCAAATAAAAACATATACAAAAGAACTTTTGGCACTCATTATATGTTGGTCAACTATTCTTGAACGTGAGGCCTATCCAGGAGCGGCTGATATACCCAGTGTCACTCTATTGGACAAAACCGGTTTCCTTTTCCCAGCAGATATACGTGACCGTTTAGTTGTTAACTTTTATCCTAGAGGGAAGGTGTTCACTCATTCATTTAAAAAAAAACCAAAATAAAATAAAATATAATAAAACATTGAAGTTGGACAAGACAAACCAACAGAAGGAAAAGATGCTAAGGCACAAGAATCAGAGACCCACCGCTTTCATACCCACTCAGGAATCCCATAAAAACCACTCAGCTGGAAGCCATACTATACAAGCAGAGGGGCTGGTGCAGAGCTGTGTAGGCTGCTTCAGTCTCTGTGAGTTCATATGAGGGCCTTCTTCTCCTGGTGCCCTCTATCTCCTCTGACTCCTAGGCGATTTTGCCTCCTCTTCCAAGGGATTCCCTGACCTCTAAAGGAGAGGGATTTGATGGAGATGTCTCATGCAGGGCTAAGACCTAGTTCTTTTTTATCTTTCAAATAGTTACTTTTACTACTTCTGGAGGAAAATGTGTTATATTTTTCCTTAAGGATACCAGTTAAAAAGATATTGCTGTTAGGCCTTTGGGATAATTTTTTTCAACCCCATTGAATGAATGTTAGAATTTGGAAGAAAACATATTTAAATTACAAATCCTAAATCAGTATTCTTTTTCCCCCTGTAGCAGACTGTTTAATAAATACTCCAATATTTCAATTGCAGAAATTCTTAGACAATGGAGAAATTCATAAATTTGGATTCTTTTAAAATTTTAATATTTCATTGAACACAATTTCTGACATTTAAAAATTAAACATGTGTGGGGAAACAGCATTGGACCAAACAAAGCCCTCTGAATGTGGGTGCCAGCTAGGAGGCCAAGACAGTTTATGGGACCTCTAACAGTGGAGCCAGTCTTTATCCCTAGAGCACAAATGGACTTTGGGAGCCCATTCCCTATGTAGGGATAGATACTGTTGCAGGCCAGATACAGCAAGGAGGGACTAGGCCCTCCCCCAAATGATATGACAGACTTTGAAGGTCCCCCTTGGAGGGCCTCACTATCCCTGGGGAGGAGCTGGGGGTGGGTTGGGGGGGTTGGTGGGGAAGGTAGGATCTATCTTAGTGGTTTGGAACTTCTCTGGTATATGTGAGGCCCTGTTTGATTCTTAGCACCAAACATAAAAATAAATTAAACAATTAGTATTTAATTTCTGTAAGTGTTTTCTTATGTATAAAAAATGGCTGGAAAACTCTGAAATTTCCTTCAGAAGGGGTCTACACTCATCAAACAGTTAGATAGGGTCATGGTGATGAGCAGAAGGCTCATCACCTCTCCTGCGCCATTGGGAACTGATGTGAGGGCATTCTGAGCACACACAGGAGCGTTTCAAGTGATCTCTGGGGGAGAGTTCCAACACAAAGTCCAGAAGAAAGCACAAGATGAAAAAAATGACAGCGGTGAGACTACCTGGTAATAACTTGTGAAAAGAACACTGGTATTTTTAGAGTTGAAGAGGGACTCTCAGAAATGGGACCCAACCCAGTCATTCCTTCAGAGAGCTGTAAGTTGAAACAGACATACAGTTAATGGAAGAAGAAGAAAACTGTCCCAGGTGCTGCCATTTTAGATCCACGAAGTATGGAAGCCAATTACAGGTCAGTCCCGTTGGTGTGTGTGCTCAGGGATCGCCATCTTTAGGAGGCTTGCATGTCTTCATGGCCCGTTTCCATGCCCTTTGTTTGTTCTTAGAACTCATCAGAACTAGGGTTTCCAAGTTATAGTTATTCATGGGGATTCCGAGCAAGGTTGTTCAGCTGTTAATACTGACACTTAATACTGTCAACTTGATACTGCGGTCACTGAAGATGCAAGCTTCTTTGAGTATCTGTGAGGGAGTATTAGGTTAACTGAGGTGAGAAGAATCACCTTGAATGTGGGTGGCCCCATCCCCCTGGCTGAGGTGATATGTTGAATAAAAAGGAGAAAGTAATCTGAACACCAGCTTTCATTGTGCTCTGCTTTCTGACTGCAGATGCAACGTGTCCAGTAGCCTCTTTCTCCTGTACTCATGTGTTATGATAAATCTTTCCGTCAAAAGCCACCTGAGCCCTACCGCCATGCGGGCGGTCTCCGCCAGCTGCCCAAGTTCTGCCCGCTGCGTGGATGGACAAAATAATACAGAGACATATTAGGTATAATGCTGCTTGGCCAATGACTAGGATTCTCATCTGTTTTCTCAGTCTTAATTATCATAAATCTATATATTTTATAAGACTTATCGGATGCCTTATTGGCGTCCCTTCTTGCTGGTGGCTCACATCCTGCAGCTGGAGGAGGCGAAGGGGAAAGAGGGGCACTTTCTGTTTCTCCTTGCTCAAATATGAGTCTCCTTGCTATGTCACTTCTGGCCTGGATCACCACTTCTCTACTACATTTCCCAGAATCCTCTTTGACTCCTAGTCCTGTCTAACTGGCTGTTTCATTGGCCAAACAGTATTTTATTCAACAATCAATAAGATAAACATACACAGAAGTACTTTCCCCATCACTCATGCCTTTCCTGTCATAATGGAGGGATGTCATAGCATCACAGAGGTACCTAATACAGTTGTGATGGTCTATCTGGAGTGCCTGCCATTAGCTGGGCAGAAAGACATTTAGTCTGAGGCTGAAGTTTGCTTGTGGTTTTGAAATTCATATTGGTAGAGTGTCTGGGTGTCGCAAAGCACCTCTGGATGCCCATCTCAAAATCCTACCCTTTCATGACTGGAGTTGATGTAATTGCATCAGAACTTGGTTGACACATCTCTCGGCTGTTGTGGGTGTGGCTCATTGGGACTCTCACAGACAGCAAGGCTCTCTACTTCCTTTTGGCACTTGGCTGAGTAGATAATATATGTGCTTCTCATTAGGAAGACCACAGCAATGACAGCAAAGTAACTTCCATAAACCAAAAACTGGAAGAAAACAAACAATTAGCTATATATAAGATCTGACCATTCATATACTTGGTAATATATAATAACCTTCCTTGTTTGATTAGATTATGGGGTAGTTGAGATTTAGAATTTAGTATGGGTTATTCTGCCTGGACTCTTCTATCTCAAATGAACCAAGGTTAATAATGTAAGCATGTCGAGTAGTGATGAAGGGACTGGCTTTGCAGTAGTAGGCTCCTAGCTACTTAAGCAGTAGTGGAGGGAAACCTCCGTAGAACCCAAGGTTCTGTCTATATTTTGTGTTTGAAGGCTGGTTCAGTGTAACAACTTGTAAATGCAAAGGTTTCTTCTTACCTACCTTCTTCAAGTAGATATGAATCTAGTTGCTCTAAATTTAGTTGGTATTATAATTAAGGACTGCAATATTTAAAATTGTTCATAATCAAATAATTAAAAAAAAAACTCCAGCATTGCTAGTTTTATGATTGAGACATCTTGGAAGTAACCTAGTCACTCTGTTCCCAGCTATTGTGCCAATGGTAACCAGAAGCCCTGCAGCTTACCTGAGTGGTGACTGGCAAGTGGAGTCCTCTTTGATCAGCCACAATCACAGTCATGATGGCCTGAATCACCAAGGCAATGAAAGTGTCTATGCCAAACACCAGGGCATAACGTTCTACGCTCAGGTTAACAGCAATCTGAAACCTGTCGTAAAATGTTGTTAGCATTTAACTACCATAGCAAAAATAATTTTTCTTTTTTTACTTTTTATTTTATGTGCTTTGGTGTTTTGCTTATATGTATGTCTGTGTAAGAGTGCTGGATCCCCTGGAACCAGAGTTGTCATGTGGATGCTGGGAATTGAACCAGGATCCTCTGGAAGAGTAGCAAGTGCTCCTCACCACTGAGCAATCTCTATAGCCCCAAATACATAAAACTCTTATCTAAAGGATAGACACTGAAACTGGACATGGTGATTCATTCCTATAATTGTAGCATTCAAGGTCATTCTTGCCCACATAGCAAATTCAAGGCCACCCTAAGGTACTTGAGACCTTGTGTTAAAACCAAACAAAAAACCAGAACAAAATAAAACAAGACTTGAAAACAGTGTTGTTAAGGCATGTCATACCTAACTCTTATCCAGTATAGACAAACAGGCAGAGCCAAGAAAAAAGAATCAAATATTATTGAAGGCAGAATTAAAGACACTAGAATAAAATTGCTCCTGCATAATCTAATGCTTCCCAGAAATTAAATTTAAATGCTAACATCTTATAACTTGAGAATATTGAATGTCACTTGGCTTTCTACATGTTTGCAATGAAGTTTTATAAAAATGCAAACATCACCCAACCTGAGGTCTTTTAAAAATATATATAGTTTATTGTCAATGTCCCACAGTGAGAAGTTATAGTAGATAGGTGATTATTTTTTGGAAGGTTTCAGACCATGGTTAGTTGTGCAACTGACTGAATCTATCATCAGTTTTAAACTAGAGATTTCAAACTCTCACCACATTTCTTTTTTTTTAAAGATTTTATTTGTTTATTTGTTTGTTTGTTTATTTGTAATGGAACATTCTGCTTCCATGTATATCTGCACACCAGAAGAGGGCACCAGATCTTATGACGGATGGTTGTGAGCCACCATGTGGTTGCTGGGAATTGAACTCAGGTCCTCTGGAAGAACAGTTGGCGCTCTTAACCACTGAGTCATCTCTCCAGCCCCCTCACCACATTTCTTATAATGTAGATAAAAGCCTTTTGGCTCTGAATGTTTTCCATCCTCCCCATAAAAAAAAAATGAAACAGACGTTCGAGTTTGATTCATTAAACCAAGATATTTAGTGAAAACCTTAGCTATCTGTGATGATTAATTTCAACTTGATACAGCCTAGGCTCACCTGGGAAGAGAGTCTTAAAGAAGGACTGTCTAGATCAGGTTAGCCCGTGGATGTGGGTGGCACCATTCCTTAGGCAGGGAAGCTGAACAGAAGAGAAAGCTGTCTGAGAGCAAGAAGCAAGAATACATTTATTCTCTTTGCTCTTGACCGTGGATGTAACATGACTCCTCCCAAAAAGGTTGGACTATAACTTGGAATTATAAACCAAATAAATCTTCTCCTAGCCTCTGTTACTTTTTGCTGGAGTGTCTGTCACAGTCACAGAAATGCAACCAGAACACTTGCTAACTAGTTACATCTCCATTCTCTGCTGATCTTTGCCTTGGAACTCACATTCCAATGTTTTACAGTTTATCAAGCATTTTTCACAAATTAAAAATGAAATTTGGTGAAGCTCGAAATGCATGTTTCTCATTTCTTTTTGTCTAATACCAAAGGAAACTATATTCTTCTTCTCTCCCTTCTCCTCCTTTTCTGAGACAAGACCCATGTGGCCCAGGCTGGCTTTAAGTTTGCTATGTCATCAAGGATGACCTCGAACCTCTGATCCTTCTGCCTCTATGTCCATGTTCTGAATAGCAGGAGTGTTCCACCACGGCCAGTTTGAAGGGACACTTGCCCACTGGAGCATTGGTTCTGTCAGACCTTGACCTTCTCCCCCATTCCCTCCACCTTGCTACAAATGCTTAGATTACATTCCTGAGGCTAGCCACCAAGGCCCATTCCCTTATTTGGCCATTTCCTCCTCCTGAGGCTGACTACCAAGATCCAACTAGCAAAGAATTGGAAGTCCAACAATCAAAAGCCCCCTTTGGCTCACCTAATTAACATGCCCAATTAAAATTAAACACCTCATCTTAACACAGGGTTTCCTTTTTTACCTTTATAAACTGACATTTTATTATGGGCCACATCTGTCTCCTCTCTATCAAGAGGCAGTCCTTGTCTCCCTCTTGGGACACATACCTCTTCTCCATCTCCCTGTTCCCTTGCCCTTCTCCCTGTCCTCTATCTCCTGTCTTTGTCACCTCCTATTCCCTGTCCTTTGTCCCCCTGGGTCAAATACATCTCTGTCATGATGAGACCTTGGTCTTAGGGTCCTGAGCTGACACCGATCTCTTTTATGGTTTATGTAGTGCTAGGAATCGAACTCAGGACTTCATGCATATGTGGCAATCATTTTACCAACTGAGCTACATAGCCTGCTCCCAAAGAAAAAAAATTCTTGTAGTGAGCTTTAACTGTATCCATACAAGCCATGTGCTTTAAAATAATTTCTTTCAAAAAAAAAAAACCAAACCTCTTAAAAAACAGAAACAAGTATTAAAGGAAACTTTGAATTTCAGAGACCTTATTTAAAACAAAAAGATTCAAAGACAGACCGTTCCAGGTATTAAGTGAAGCTCAAGTGATCTTACCATCTCTGCATTATTCCCCCTCTCCAAGTCCCACTTTTTGTAACTTTCTTGACAATATTTATACAGGAAAGTATCTGCTTTGAACTTCTGGAGCAAATAAATGGGGCTAGGGATAAAATCTAAACCTATGCATCTAAAATTAAATCACACCACACCTTATTAAGACAAATCATTGGAAGTAAAAAGATCCTTGCTTTCAGTTCACACAGTGTCCCAGACGCCCCCCCCCCCCCCCCCCCCCCCCCCCGCTTCAATGACTCTGCAATATTCAGCTAAATGAAAAGATGGCTGCACTGAATTCCCTTCGATATGGAGTTAGCCTTTGACATTGCAACTGATTGAGATCCTCCTGAAGTTCCCCGAATGCCTTTAGGTACCCAGGAAAGAGAAGGGGGGATGGTCTGTGACACTTACACTGCTATGGTTATAAGAAACATATAGCTAGACTTGACCAGCAAATAGCCGGCATAGCACACCCAGATGCTGAGCGTGTAATTCATGAGAAACAGAGCGCCGGCAATGACAGCTGAGAAGATGGCCAGACCCAGTTCTCCTAGGAGGTCCCAGTTGACCTTCACGTAGCCCACAGAGAAAGCAGCCAAAGCTCCTGAGAAACAGACACAGAGGAAGAAGTCAAGCTATTGACTTTGCAGGAAGACAACAGCAACACACCAAACAAACTTAAACACTCAGCTCTTGAGCAGTCCTCAAGGTGACCAATGTACTGTTTCACAAAAACTAGGTGATCCACTTCAATGAAGATTTTTTTTAAAAGCACTTTTTTTTTTTCAAGCAGGCTTTCTTCTTTTCTCACTTTTTATTGTTTTCAACTACTTTGATCTTATACTTTGATTTAGTATCAATGATGTATCAGGCATATACTAGGCAGAAGGGATAAAAAGTATCTAAACACAGCAGTATGGGCAGCAGTAACATAGTAGCCTGTCATTTAAAAAACATCTAGGATAGCAAGCATGGAAATGTCTTAGAAGTAAATTTCTCTATTGTTTTCAATTGTATGTTTTTGAGTGATGGGTGTTCCAATCTTCTTCCTTCTTTCTTTCCTTCCTTCCTGTCTTTCTTCCTACTGTCCATCCATCCTTCCACCCATCCTTCCCTACTTCTCTCCCTTCTGTCCTTCCTAGACCTAGGGGACCTTTTGGTGGTCTCCTTGCATTGCCTTTGAACTCCAGGGCTGGAGTAATCCTTTTGCTACAGCTAACATGTCTTGAGGCTTTGGACAAAAAGGACCTGTACTTGTACATACATAGAATTTGAAGAGGTGAAGAACTGAGTGTAACCAGTAACTACAGTTCTCTTGAACCGAACAAAAGAAATTTAGGGCTCAAATTATTGATAGCTGGCTAGTTACTTTTCCTGTAGGTGACCTGCAATAGAACTGTCTCTAAAAAGGAATGGCTCTTCGCAAGAATTTTGGCCATAAGAGCAATAATTTCAGTGATCCAATTCTGGCATAGCCTTGGCTTTCAGGAGTGAGCTAAAGCCTCCCAAGAGGGAAACAATAATAAAACAGAGGCTATGTGCATTTCTGAAGCTTTCTGTAGAGGAAGGTGTGGAAATAGCCCACTTCCTAAGCCTCATCTTCAAAGCTTCCATTGATGAGGATGTAAATATTTATTGCAGAGTATGCTTCAAAGGCAAATTTCTTTTTGATATTAGAATCCTGAGTCTAACATCATGGAAACTTCATAAAAATGCCACTTTTGGAAACTGTTGGTGTGAAACCTAGAGTTGTGAAGGTCCCTAAGAAGACTGTGTGAGGTCCTAGAATCCTTCATGCATTTTCTAGAGTTAGTAATAAAAATTCGTCACTTTCCCCTTTCTTTTAATATTAAAAACAGTCTTGACTCGTAGCTCAGGAAATAAGGGCAACACTCAACAAATGGACCAAGTGAGATTCAAAACTTCTGAAGGGCGGAGGGGGGCCTTTGAGTGAAGAGGATGCCTATGGAATGGGAAGAAAGCCTTTGCTCTTATACAGCAGGCAGAGGATCCACGCCTACAATACCTGCATCCAAAACACAAATCAGGAAATCAAACAACTAGGAGGGGAATGAAAAGGAAGGGCACAGAGGTGCTGGGGGCAGTATGCCCAACAAGCTTAAAAAGACCAAAACAACAAAAGGCTAGATTAGCTTAGCCGGTAAAGTCCTTGCCTTGCAAGACCTGAGTTTGAGCCCCAGCACCCACATATGGTGCTGTATTGTATTCCTGGCAATGGGGAAGCAGAGACAAATGGAGCCCTGGAGCAAACTGGCCAGACAGTTTGGCCTACTTGGTGAGTTACAGGCCAATGAGAAACCCTGCTTTAAAAAAAAGAAAGAAAGAAAGAAAGAAAGGAAAGAAAGAAAAGGAAAAGATGGAGGGTACCCAAAGGATGATACTTGGTTGTCCTTTGGCTTTCACATGTACCATGTGTACATGCACACGTGCACACACACACACACACACACACACACACACACACACACAACAAAAGAATAAAACTAGAAGTTGTATTGATGGCACTCATCTTTAAACTAAAAGTAAAACAAAATTATCAAACTTTAAAACATATGAACATAATACTAAAGGAATGGGGCACATTATCAACATTTATCTTGATAATGAAATGGAATCTATGGATTCTACAAGAAAGACATTTCTTGGTGCTAAGCCTTTCACTTTGGAGTTGTTTGAAACTGTAATATACAGCATAAAAAATTAATGTACTCTTATTTTTCCAGTGCCTTCTATCCTTGAGTGGGAAAATGGCTTAGTGGGTAAGAGGTTTTGTCATGGATACTTGAGGAACTGAGTTCGAATCCCCCAGAACACCTCTAAAAATGTGCTTGTGCATGCCTGCCATCCCACTACTGTAGGGGATAGAGAGAGGAGGATACTGGGGCTTGCTGGCCACTAGCCTAGCTCTGGGGTCAGCAGGAGACCCTGTTTTAGATGACACCTGACGTCCTTCTCTCACTGGTGTGCACACAGCCACACACACATATGTACATATACCACCTGCCCCCCACTAAAATAAAAAAAATCACTCTAATTTCTAATCATAGCTAATTAATCACCACGGAGAAGTTTAGCATCTGGAGCAGTACCCTTCAGAGGGTAGCAGGGGAGGAGAGAGATGTCTACTTACCTCCAAATGTGGCAGCAGCCTCTACTGCTCCATTATAAATAGAAGAGTCTTGGGAGGGTGCCTTGTGTTCCCATAAGACTTGAACATAGTTCAAGACTTGGTTATAACCCGACGTAGCGAAAGCCCACCACAGGGACCAGTACAAAAGGTGCTTGGAGGAGTAGCACTCCTTCAGGTCTTGGAACCAATGCACAAAGACTCTCAAAGCCACGTTTTCTGGCTCTGGGCCCCTTGGCTTGATGTTCCCTGGAGTCCCTGAAGTGGCAGGCAATTCTGGGTGAGCTGTCTTGTTGTTCTTCTGAGCTTCCTCAAGGACAGTATCTTGTCCCAGTGGCTTTTGATGGGCTTCTCTGTCATACATTGTATGAAAAAACATGCTCTTCTTAGGCATTGGTAAAAAAAGCGAGAAAAAGAAAGCCACAGAGACACAGGCCAAGGTTGTGTAAAAGAGGAAAGAGTATGGCAGAGCTGCCAGGGATACCAGGAGCTGGGCCAGCACCGAGCCTACTGTGTAGGCCACAAGAGTGACACTCCGACAGTAGCTGCTCACTTTCTGGTAGTGTTCTGGGCTGACCATGCTGTATATGTAGGAATAGTAGCCTATCTCCGTAGCTGAGACAACCCCAAAAAAGAACTCAGCCACCTGCATGAGCATCACACCCTGGCCAAACAAAAGAATCAGGTAGCAAACGATGAAGGCCATGATGTGTAATATGATGACTGGTTTGTAGCGCAGGTAATCAGTGAGGACGAACACAGGGGGCAGCATCGCCAGGTAGGAGTATGTCCAAACAGGAAGGACCTCATTTGTCATCTGTGGAGTAGATATGTAGGGGTGACCAGAAAGCACAGCGTATCTCAAAGGGACATGTGGTAGATTTGCACAACAAAATCACATCTAATCAGGAATTCTTTGTATTACGGGGGAAAAAATGATAGAAAACTGATCTAAAGGTACATGGCTAAGAAAAAGTAGTGCCCTTGCTAATAGAAAAACAAAACAATAAAAATAGCCCAACATGGTGTTGGGTAGGGATAGTAAAGAAAAAGAAAAGAAAACCAAAATTGCAAGCAACTTCTATACTTAGGTGTATCTCACTAGAAGAGTTTTAGGGAGATGGCCTCTGGATTATTATACAAGAAATAAAAGTTCAAGTAGTAATGGTTTAGTAAATTAGTTAAAAAATCAAGTTAAGTTTAAACTTAAATACTCTGAACTTCTGAGATTTTTGAGTTCTCAAAAAAATCCCATTCTGCAGAGTAAGTTCTAAGACAGCTGAGGCTACATTGGGAAACACCTTCTCTAAAAAACCAAACCAAACCAAAACTCAGTCTAAGGGGTTGGGGATATAGTTCAGTGGTTAAGAGCACTGGATGCTTTTCCAGAGGACCTAGGTTCAATTCCCAGCAACCCCCAAGGCAGATTACAGCTTTCTGTAACTCCAGTTGTAGGGTATCCAGCACAATCATATAGATGTACATGATATGTACATGAAAAACATGAATACACATGAAATAAAAGTAAATAAAATTTAAAGATCCCAATCTAGGGCTGGAGAGATGGCTCACAACCCTCCGTTATGAGATTTGTTTCCCTATTCTGGTGTGCAGATATACATGGAAGCAGAATGTTGTACACATAATAGAAGCAGAATGTTGTATACATAATAAATAAATAAAATCTTTAAAAAATCCCAATCTACTTGTATGTAAAGTTTAGCAATGTTAGGCACAGAGGTCACAATGTAAAGAGTAGAACAACCTCTCTTTACTTGATCCACCACTGCCTTCCACCTGTCTGAAATCTGGGTGGACACACATAATTGCTAGCAAGAGCAAATGGTTTTGTCACGTTACCAAGTGGGGAACAGGTAATGCATTTCCTGTCCTTCCTGTCCAAATTTGCTGGGCTCTCAAGCTCTTCTCACCCTACGCATGTCTATAGATTTCTCAGTGCTTGTTCAAGTTTCATGTGGGTGGTACTCCTATTTAAAGACAAACACATGAGTGCTCAAGTTTCATAGGCGGAAATGACTCAAAAGACTGACAATGGTGGTGGTGGCGCCCTTTAATTTCAGCACTCAGGAGGCAGAGGCAGGTGGATCTCTGTGAAATCCAGGCCAGGCTGGTCTACAAGAGCTAGGTCCCAGGC